TTTTTTTTGTCCACAGGCAATTCACATCATGATTGGTCTGCTTAATATCGGCCTTGGTACCATCTTGGGCCTGACATTCACATCTACTTGGATTGTGATTACCAATGTCCCTTTCTGGATGGGACCTCTGGTAGGCTAACTGGTTGATTTCACATTGTGAGCCTAAAGGCTGATTTATACTCAAAAACCAGGCCGTCTGCGTGTGTGTCACAGTGAACGCAAACGTGCGCCTGCCGCAGACACTCTGGGGCACCACTCCAAAATTGTAGGTGACCGCAGACAAGAGGCCTCTGATTGGTCGAATCTCCATCCGCTCTACACTATGCGTATTTTCTGTTTGGTACCTTACCGTCTTGTTTTGTTTCTTTGACCACCATTGTGGAAAACGACTTTTGAAGATGGACCAGCTGTGAAAGAACGCTGGGACCCTTTTTCCACCTGGATCCCTGCTCTTTTTTACCCGCATGTTCCTCCGTTGTCGCACAAACTTGCCCCCACTTCCTCACCACCTCGACCGTATCTAGACCCAGAGCTAGTTCATGATTGTCCCTCTTGTGTTGTGGCGTGGCATAACATAGCACAGACCACGCTTCAATATTGGGCATCAATCAAAAATATCTGCAACAAGCTCACTGCGACACACTGCTGTGGGAGCATAACCAGCCCTTTATGCTACGTACACACCTAACGCGCTTTAAGCAGCAGAAGCATCAGGTCTACATGCAAAGGATATGGGTGACGTGCATCAAAAGGTCCTGCAGCGCCTCGTGAGCTTCTGAGCATCTGACGCTTGTGAAGCACTTCACAAGCAGTGCTTGTGAAGGATTGGTAATCTGGATGAACTGACGGCACCAAGCTGCTCAGATGCATCAAGAAGCGCTGCTCCTGCTGCCCTAAACGCGCTGCAGGACCTTTTGATGGACCTTGATTTGCATCAACCATTGACTTTGCATTTAAAATTGTTGCTTCTGCTGCTCAAAGCATTTTTGATTTTTAACAAAGCATTAGAGAGAATCTACAGGATGCATGAAAAGAGAAGAAGGAATGACTAATCTGGGGGACATATTAGGGGCCGTGTGATCAGGGGCTGATAGAATCAGAATGCATAAAACATTCAAAATGCTGTGGAGAGTGGTTTCTTTGTGAGTTTTTGGCAGGATACACATTCAAAAGCTCAACACAGGGAACAAAATGATGATGTAATTTTCTTCTCATAGCTGTGGAGCGAGAAAAATGTTTTTCTTTTGGTGCAATTTGGAGAAGCTTGAGGCAGAATTCAGCTTCTATGATTTCATCTGTGGAACAATCTCTCATTGAAGACTATTTACTCCTCAATTCCAGGATTCAACCATTAGGCGGCGTAATGTGTTTTTCTCCTACATGATTTTTAGTTTTATTTTCTATGTAAAGTATTTAGATATTTTAGATTTTCCTTTGTATCATTTTTTCCAGTTGATTGTATTCGGGATCGTGTGCCTTCTGTCTGAGAAGTATCCGAGTCCATGCCTGGTGAGTGATTAGATGAACATGTTCCCTTCTTCAGATCTTCCTCTTTGAAATATTCATCGTATCTTTCAGGTTGTCCTCGATTTGATTTTCAACATTGCTGGAGCTGCTATGGCCATTGCTGCCATTGTGCTCTACGGCATATATGAGGGATATCTTCATGTTTCATATTCCTGTGAGGAAATCGACTACGACTACAACTACCAGCGAAATGTAGCCACAGCATCAAGTCCAGGCTCTGAATACATCAAGCAAAGATGCCTTGAGAATACAGCTCTGTTCACAGTAAGACAAAAATTTTGCTTCGGGAATATTTGTGAAATGGGTTTGACAACTGTGGGAATCAGTGATTTCTACATTTCTGTTCTTTTATGTACCATTTTAAACCATTAAAGTCCTTATCCAGTTAAAAATCGTCAAAATAAAATCAGAGTCAAATTTCCTTCGTAAGCAGGAAATCTCAAACATTTACAGAAAAAATAACATTACAACAGACCCAAGACCCTCTAAAATACATTTAATTACTTCACTCTTTATTTTTTATACACACACTACCGTTCAAAAGTTTGGCATCACATTGAAATGTCCTTATGTTTGAAGGTAAAGCACTGTACTTTTCAATGAAGATAACTTTAAACTAGTCTTAACTTTAAAGAAATACATTCTATACATCACTAATGTGGTAAATGACTATTCTAGCTGCAAATGTCTGGTTTTTCTTGCAATATCTACATAGATGTATAGAGGCCCATATCCAGCAACTATCACTCCAGTGTTCTAATGGTACAATGTGTTTGCTCATTGGCTCAGAAGGCTAATTGATGATTAGAAAACCCTTGTGCAATCATGTTCACACATCTGAAAACAGTTTAGCTCATTACAGAAGCTACAAAACTGACCTTCCTTTGAACAGATTGAGTTTCTGGTACATCACATTTGTGGGGTCAATTAAACGCTCAAAATGGCCAGAAAAAGAGAACTTTCATCTGAAACTCGACAGTCTATTCTTGTTCTTAGAAATGAAAGCAATTCTATGCGAGAAATTGCTCAGAAATTGAATATTTCCTACAACGGTGTGTACTACTCCCTTCAGAGGACAGTACAAACAGGCTCTAACCAGAGTAGAAAAACAAGTGGGAGGCCGCGTTGCACAACTGAGCAAGAACATAAGTACATTAGGGTCTCTAGTTTAGGAAACGGATGCCTCTCAGGTCCACAACTAGCATCTTCATTAAATAGCACCCGCAAAACACCAGTGTCAACATTTACAGTGAAGAGGTGGCTGCGGGATTCTGGGCTTAAGGACAGGGTGGCAAGGAAAAAGCCA